GCAGTCACGGGCGCGCGTTCCTGGGCGGGTCGCGGCGGAGTCTGTGGAGCCACGGCGGGAGGCTTTGAGGAACCGGCTCCACATCCATCTGCTCCTGGTTGAGCTTCTCCTTCTCGTAAGCTCATTCCACTGGGTCCCATAGGAAGAAGTCGCAGATCCGGCTCTGACACTTGTAGAAGTGCCTTCCGTGAGTTGGGCCTTTCTTCTTCACCTGCCAGCGAAACGCCGGCTTGTTGCACAGACACAACGTTGTCATGGGCCCCGAAGTCATTGACCCTGAACTCGCAGCCAATCTCGACGGCGGACTCGGGGTAACCAACACCTCCATCTTCTTCTTGTGCAACTCCTCTGGAGTCAGATGCTGCCACCTCCCCATACACTTGCCGCAGTAGATCTCCCTCTTGTACTGGTTGCCCGCTCCCTTCAAGTCCTCCCGAGGATGGGCACGCTCTGTTACAAGAGCTTGGGCCGGCATCTTCGACTGTCTCACACCCAGAAAGCTGGCATACTTGATCACCTCCGCATACTCCAGCTCTGCATCCGCCTGCTTGGCCTTGATCGGTGCGGTAGGCGCGGAAGTTGGGGTAGAAGGTCGTAAGGCCGCCTGTGAGGGCGGTAGCCCCAAACGCTGCAACGAGGAACTTGGCAGCCAGTCTTGTACCTGGGCGCGTAGTTCGATGAGCTTCACAAGGTCGCTCAGTTTTTCTCCAAGAACTCTCCAACCCATAGTGGCTCGCCTCGTTCTCATCATTGCCGGAGTTCTCTGGGGCCTTCGCGACGCTCGAATTGCATCTGCCTATCGCTGAGCCAACATTCGCTCCATAAGACGCGAGGCCATTGTCGATCACGGCGAGGGGGCTTACACTGACAAAGCTCTTGAGCTCTTTCATGCTGTGGTCGTGGGTGTTGTGGCTCACAAGAACAAACTGCTCACGACAAAGCTTTGCATTCAGGGCTTCGGAAGGCACACTCCAACCCTCAGGCGCAAAGTCTGTGATTGACACTGCAACATGTCCTGAAGGTAAGTCGGAGAGTGAGGCCTCGACGCTGTAGGACCTGATCTCGAGGACGTTCCGATCCAAGTCCACGACTGCCCTGAGCTGCTTCAGAAGTTTGATCGGCAGTAAAGGAGGAACGTCATCGGCTACAACCGTGAGTTCGATGAGGCCATTTATGTCATCTGTTTCATCACGTAGCTCAGGCTCATTGCTACCGCATGCTACTTTCTGCAGGAACTTGCCGAAGGTGGGCATGAAAGACCGGTAGTCGCGCTCTAACTTTTTGTCCGTCATGACCGCAAAGCTTTGGGGGCTCGCTTCACCCTCGGACTTGACGAAGAAGCCCGAACGTGCACTTGACGACTGGGCGCTCGAAGAACTACGG